AAAATAATTTACCATCCCCTCCCCCCCCCCCCTCGCCCCGTTATAACGGGCGAATTGAATATCGACTTTTTTCTGTTTTCAAACGACTCAAGATGCTGACAAGTATTTACAAAATGTTTACTTGTCACTGTCTCTGACGTATCCGTTTACGTAAGGTTTTCGCTGATATGCAGCGTCAGTTGAAAAAAAACGAAAATCCACTCTTGCGCTGAACTTCGAATTGCCTTTGTCAAAAGCTACCTTCCATCGTTATCCTGCCCTGTGATAACGCACTGAAAAAGGCGCTTTATATGTTATGAATAAAATAAGCGGTAACTCGAGCGCCGTAAAGAAGGTTCATTACGTAACGCAAGAGTACCTATATCAAGTTGATACCATGCTAATATGCATGGTTCGCGTTATGGTGAACGGACGATGTCCATAATTCAACAAATCAGACGTCATACTCATGTTCGCGATAGTCTAACTACGCTTCCACTATGGTGCTATAGAACATACTAACCGTGCTATAGCCAGGTTACGGGAGACTAGTTAGATCGCATGTAGGTAGGTACATGTACTCGTATGGGCATACGATAAATTGAAGCCACGACAGATGCACGCGTGTGTCAGGACATTTTGAATATTAATCATTTTACAAAATCCCTCACAACGTACCAACAGTCGCCGTTTGATTATTGAACTTTTGATAACGTCCGTTGAGTCGACAAAAACTAAAAGACGGAGACAAAGATTAATGATAGTGAGAACTCGTAAATATAGTTATATACTGGATAAGTTATATTTTTAAAGAAATTTTTATTAACGATGTATGCATAAAGTACTTTGTTTCAAGATACCCACCTTTTGAGTCTTCAGTACCTACAGAAGCTTACCTGACACCGTTAAGAAATATAAACAATACCTATTAGCATCGAATTTATCACTGTTAGAAATTACTGATATTACATCGAATTAGGTTAGAATCGATACGCGTCTTTGGACATTTATGAAGTCGAAGCTTTCCTTAAGTTTTACCATTACTTTATACTTGTCGTATATAGTATGACTGCTATATATCAGAATCTGATGCTGACTGATGAAAAAAAAAAGTTGACAGTATTACTATGATTCCGTTTCAAACTGTTCGACACAAAACCATTTTATAATCTAACGATGGAATTATCTTCCGTAGTTAAACGACATGATAGAAATAGGTTATGTTTGTATCTGTCATTTGAAATCTGATAATACGACTAGCCCGTACCAGGGAATATGGTTATCATGGAAATCATTGATTAATACTCTACTTATACTACCATTTGTTGGTATTACGATAGCAATCGTGACAAATCGGAATAAAAAGAGAATTGAAAGAGTCGCGACTAAGAACAAAGCCATTACTGTAATTTTATTAATGCCTACCTCTAATTATCTGTTCATCCTCTTATTGTTGGCAGCCGGTGCGAGGGACGGCGGTAGCAGAAGGTATCCTGTAATCGTGTTCGTCCACGGTGAGAGTTACGAATGGAGCAGCGGAAATCCTTACGACGGAAGCGTCCTGGCTAGCTACGGCGGCGTCGTGGTTGTCACCATAAATTACCGACTGGGAATTCTCGGTAAGTTCTTACCTCCAATATAAGACCAATCGAAAGAGCATAGAATATCCTGATACGCTTCGTGATCATTAAGGGATGCAAAGAAATTCGTAAGAGTGTCACAAGAGCGTAGCGGAGAATAATGACAGTTATCGTAACCTTACAATGTAAATTCGAATCAGTCGGTAAGGTAGATAGTCGCTCGGAAGGTAAGGACGCAGCGGACTAAAATGGATCGAAAACTTATCGTAAAGTTTCTCCTCTGGCAACCTCGGCAAACGAAATCTAATAGGAAACTCATTACGAGGAAGTCTTCCGTTTCGGCGGACTAAAATTCTTGACTCCGTGCCACGTTACCTGAAGCGAACCACTTATTTTCAACGGGGAAATTCCAGTCGTGATGAAAAACGAAAATGTAATATCTTTCCCCAAGGAGTGACGGAATGGCACGCCTCACTGTGCGCGTCTACTTGTAGTGTATTACGTACGGCCACGTTCTACCAGTCGCAGTGATATATACAAAATAAGTACGAGCCATACGACTGGTAAGCGGGTTCCTCTATCCTCGAGTGCACGTTTCTAGAGTTTCCTCTGGCTTTCTGGATTTTCGAGTAAAACCGCGTACGCTCGTAAATTATCGCGTCGTAAATGTAACGGCGAACGCAACCTAGTAAAACAATGAACGCGATTCGAACGTTGGAAAAACTTCATAACATAAATATTCCAAGGGGTTTCATTGTCACGGAAATACACGTGGTTCGCGAAAACTCAACCGATACTCGACACACTGCAGACGCAAGTTTAATTCAAAAACGAAAACATATCCCGTCATCTTTTCGAGGGATTTCCTGGCTGAATCTGAATTTAATCGTACGATCGTTTGTACAATAATTTTTTTATCACAAATTTGACATAAAACCAAAAATAAATTTTGCAAAAAAACAACCTCGGGTGATTCACACGAAAACGAATTTTTCATCGATCGTAGGAAAGTAATTTAAAATGAAATTACGAACGGATGCGAGCGTAATTTGCTTGTACAATTTTTTTTCGTAAAAGAGGAAAAAGGATATACATTGTGAAAAATATACACGGTGAACGTATCTTCATACAATTGTGTACCGGTTAGTACCAATTTTTTTCCTGCATACTTTCCTTCCCATTACACTCCTCATTTCGAAATTGTATTCCCCGCGTAAGGACACTTGAGACGAGAGAGCTCGCTGTAATTCCATGATAATTTTACGCTAGCAAATTCCAACTCTCTTTCCCCTTTGTAACACGCTTTCAAGCTACCTTCATCGTTTTATAATAACTATCCATATCCCCGTCCCCGCGTCTTCTACCCAGATGGTATACCCTTAGAGTGTTGTATCTCCGCTTTCCCTAATTGATAGAATTCTTAAGTATCCATAATTTATGATACCTCCTCTAATTCCAACGGCATAAATAAAAACCGATATATTTACATGCACTGTTCGATAAAATTATTTTTTAAAAAACATCACAATGAAACCCGAGCTTTGTTTTTTTTTCAATTATTTTCATTAGTTATAATGCAAGCCTTCACCTAACACTAAACGTTTCGAAATACTTTAACATTGACACAGCCAACGTACCGTTACTGTACTATTTTCATACGAAAAATTACTGAAAGTCTATTTTCGCTAGTAAGGTCCGTTATGCATGATTCAATGAAGTAAATTTAATTTTATACACATGTATATAACAATTGGTACTAGCGTACCCTCTAAGCATACTGAAAGCGGTTAGACGCTTTTTCTAAGATCGCAGCCAAAAATCCAGCAGAGCCTGGATGCCCGGGCGTTTGTCAGCTTAAGAAAAAGAGAGAAAATGTCCGAAAAAGATGGGTCTTAACGTGAGTCCAATGGAAGCCGCGCTCAAGAAGTTTATTAAGGGTGCCAGTGACGGATGGGACAACGGTTTTATAAAAGTCCTGGCCGCGACTAGGAGCCATCAGGACGATAAAACTCGGAAGGAAAATCGAGCGACCCCTACGGCATTAAGAAATAGCGAACCTCAAGCACTGGATTCTCAACCCTGAAATAGTACTATAAAACAGGAAACACGCTAGTGGAAGAAACTTTTTTATCTTCAACAGTCAAAGACAATTGGCACCTTCCCTCAATTTGAGTTGCACGCAAGACCGTGCCCTTATCGTTTTTCCAGTTAGTCAGGTTGACTGTAGATAGAGACAGAAGACAATGAATAAAATCTATACATTGACAGTAAACTAATGTAAGAGAGCGAGGAAGCAGGAGATGCTATATACAGTAAAGTGGAAAATACTGGAGTTTGTAGTAGGAAGAAAATAAATATCCAAGATCCTAGTTAAGCCGTGGTGTGTCTTCCCCCTTCAGGAATTCAGATCCCCCGTGTCGTCAATATTACAAACTATATATTACACAGATCTGCTGTATATATATATACAACATATATCTAAGAGCAATATCCTTGTTGCCACTCGTAGCGAATCACGAGGGGTAGAGAAATGCGTCCATGCAGCATCCATCCCTCTTTTGAAGGCCCTGCCCGAACCAGTAGATATATGACCTGCTATAAATATTAGTACGTCATCGATTGATATCGTATACCGTCATGTTTATGTAAACTTTATCGATTTATTAGTGGTTAATAATAATACACGTCAGGAATTACACCCCTTCAGTAAGGGCAGCTCGACGACAGACCGAATAGAAATATTTTTCCTGACGGTGTTATGTATATTGCGTTTGCCAATTGAAAAATATAAGCGAATTCGATCCTAGAACTTCCCTTTGGTATTATTCGTTTCAGCCAACAATAAAGTTCTACGGAAATCTAGCTCGCTTCGACTTCCGTTCACGTACGACAGCTGTCACCGTAAATGGACAAAGTTCTTTCCTCCTTTCTTACCGTAAGAGAGCCCGCACTGTCTTCTCGCGAAGACGCCACCTCCTTTTTCTTCAATTCATCTTGCCACACGAATCCTGTGATTTCTGGTAGGCAGTAGTAAATCTACTTGTTATAGAATGCGCGAAACGAGTTTACGTCATCGACGGGTAAAAATTCAAATGTATTTAAATGCAGCTACAGGACTGTCTATGGAAACGATTCCACTAGACTCGAAATCGATTCGTGTCTGCCAAGAGGGCTGTCGTCGAGGCTTTCCTGTTAGCCAGGTGGCGCCACCGTCAGGGAATCCAAGTAGGATTAACCAGATCCTAGAATAATCGTAAGTCGATGCTCTGGGTTGCAGGCTTCCTGAATGCGAACACCGATTCGCACTTGAGATCTCCGGCTAATTACGGGCTGATGGATCAAATCGCAGCATTGCACTGGGTCCAGGAGAACATTGGCTACTTCGGCGGGGATCCTGGTAACGTCACTCTTATTGGCCACGGTACGGGATCTGCTTGCGTCAACTTCCTGATGACCAGCCACGCCGTGCCTGACAGTACGTATGATTATGATTATTTATCAAAATTTCTTTACTCCGATCATTTTTACACTCTTGATCGTGTTTTCAGAAAATTTTGATAAAGTCACACGGTACCGGTGTCATGGGATTTTTTTGTGTTACCCTCTTCATCATGCCCCGTCGACTTTCACTATGGGGTTTTTTTTTTAACACAACCAGGACTTAGAGCATATCGTATCCACGTATCCTTGAATAATTAACGTCACGTCGGGTTAACCCCTTTAACCGCCAAGACTAGAAATAACTAACGGAATATCCAAGATTAAAGTGTCAGAGGGTAGATGAGGGGATGAGAGTCGGAGGGTGGTGAACCGCAAAGCTGACGCCGGGAGCTCGCAAAGCATTTGCAGAAGCACTGGCTAACTCGAGCGAGAGATATATTCATTCTGGAAAAATGTGGACCTTCCTGTCGCTGTTTATCCTTTGCTGCATCTACGCCGAGATATCCCAGCCGTGAGACAGCGATAAAAGGGATGCGCCGGTAAACTAGCTTTTTTTTATTTTTTCCTTACCTCTTTTTTTTATATGTTCTTCCTTTTTCTGGCACGGGATCACCGTGCCCCAGTGAGAACACGGGCACCGTAAAAACAGTAACGAAGACGATACTACTGAACGCACTAAGGAAAAAGAAAGGAGATCGGTGAAAAAACGGATGGAAAAAAAATGATTCGCCATTTCTCTACGTGACAGGTATCGCACGACTTCCTCGATCAACTTCCACCAGCGAAACTCACGTCAAGATCTTTGACAGATAATTTAAGACAGGTGCTACCTTCCAATGTGTCCTAAAGAGGATACGTGTTTCCCTCCATTTTTGTAATTTATATAAAACCGTAAATGGATGGGATATCCTGATATCACAGCAATGCGAATATTATTAGCCATGAACCAAGTTCAATATCGTTTATATAAAATTTATGTATAATCGTGAGAAAAAAGTAAATTGATAATTGACATAGGTTAAGTGAAAAAAATAAGCACTGTTACAAATTTCGATTTAATGGCGGAATTCCTGATCCATTACCCCTCGCTCTCATGATGCTCTATAGTAAAAGTATATAGGGAACTAGAATCCCTTTCTATCTAATTGATCGAATTTAATCCTCGCGTAGGTGCAATTTAAACGGAGCGGTCCTAGCCGCCGGCTCGAAACTCTCTATCAAGTGGCAGACCAAACAGAATCAGTATTAGCAACGATCTGCCAAAGCGGCCAACCCCATTTGTGCTGTGCCCAATTTCACGTAAGCGTCCCAGTATCCTGCTGCACGGGAACGACAGTACTTCCACGTTGTACGGTTTACATGTTATCTAGTAATGGAACCGAACGCATCCAGCGGGCAATCAAATCAACATGAAACTCGGAAGGACCAACAGCATTATTATCATTGCGTCGTATCATTAGATGCAACCACCTGTGTTACCAGAGGAAACTACATCCAAGAGCCTTCTTGGAGCTTCCAACAATTTCAATTAAGGCAACTGTCATTGAGAAGAAAACAGTATACCAAATAACAAGAATTATATATAACTTTATGGAATTTCAAATAACCCGCGCTTTATATTCTTGTATTTTTAATATTAGGTTAAGACAGTTGCATAACCTAATATACTTTAGCGTCTTGCTACTCGGAGATACAGCATAGTACTCATTATACCATGTTTCACAATCACAACAAATACGTCTCTCCTTTCTCGATAATATTGTATTTTATATTCATCAACTTTGCGAAGTTGAATTCAAATCTTCAATCTGAATTTTCTACAAGATAACAAGTATTACGTTACATGCCGAATACAAAGCATTAAAATACGTACAAGTTTATACTGTAACGTTATCTTTCTTTTGAATTTTATAACGTGGGTATGTATAGTAAATTTATACCATACGCATATTGACCACGACACTTGCAATTTAATATATCTCAGGAACGTGGATATCATACGACTTTACGGTATGACGTGTCAATACGTGGAATACATATGACTTCAGTCACCCAGAATGTTATAAATAAAATTCAGGATTCCTTATACCAGTCTAGACAGAAGCTGATGCATCCATATTATATACGTATATACCACGTACTGCAATATGCACTCAGATATCAGATATCAATTTTTTATTTTCAGGATTACTTTTTCATCGTGGAATCCTCATGTCCGGTAGTGCGCTATCACCATGGGCATTGATCAGGGGTGCAGCCAATTACGCAATGCAAGTGGCTAAACATTTAAATTGTTCAGCAGTGAGTATCATTGATAATAATAATAATATTATAATTAAATGATTCAAACACGGTCCAGCAGTATTCAGAAATCAACATGCTTAACCCTTGCTCACAACTTGCTCGTGCTTCCAGGGTGAGCTTGTTCACCTGATGAACAATCGTTGATGATTCTATAATTTTCTGAACAATTATGCACAGACCATAGACCGTATCTGCCTACTACGTGTATTTCTGTGAAATACACGGGTCCGGGAAGATAGCCCCCCATAACTCGAAAATCCCGATTTCGTTGTTTGTTCTGAGTTGTTCTACGTTTGTTCTATATCGTTCCAGAAAAATAAGTTTCTCAATTGAAATTTGTAACGGTGATGCGCAAAAAACAGTTTCTTACAGGAATCCCTCATTTACGGAAAATGAAATTTTTTTTTTGTTTCTCCAGCTTGTTCTAGATTTTTCCAGGTTGTTCTTGGCTTTTCTGGGTTGTTCCAGGTTTATCAGGTAGGACAGACAAGTATAACCAGGGAAACACTGGAAAAGCTGAGGAGGACGAACGCTCTGAGAATAGCATGTGGATATAGGATCATTTCGAACGACGTCCAGGTTATTCCTGCTTGTTCTAGGTTCTCGTAGGTTTTTTAGGTTTTCGTAGGATTTCGTAGGTTTTCGTAGGCTTTCGTAGGTTTTCGTAGGTTTTCGTAGGTTTTCGTAGGTTGTCGTAGGTTGCTCCAGGTTGTTCCAGGCTGCTCAGGTAGGACAGATACGTAAAAGCAGGGAACACTGGAAAAGCTGAGGAGGACGAACGCTCTCAGAATAGCATGTGGATATAGGACCATTTCAAGCGATTTCCAGGTTATTCCAGGTTGTTCCAGGCTGCTCAGGTAGGACAGATACGTAAAAGCAGGGAACACTGGAAAAGCTGAGGAGGACGAACGCTCTCAGAATAGCATGTGGATATAGGACCATTTCAAGCGATTTCCAGGTTATTCCAGGTTGTTCCAGCTTGTTCTAGGTTTTCCTAGATTTTTCTAAGTTGTTTTAGGTTTTCTTAGGTTTTTCTAGGTTATTTTAGGTTTTTCTAGGTTTTCCTAGGTTCTGGGTCTATCGATGATTGTTCTCGATTTGTATAGCGATCGGATAATAGCAACTAACTTAGAACAATGTAGAACAAGATTCGAAATCGGAACTATAGAATGTAGAACGATTTTATATGTAAAAATGTTTTTTTGATCCCATTCGAGTATTCTTCACTTAGCGGTAATAATATTTTGGAACAATATTTAGAACAACTATAACAACTTGGAACAACTAAAAAACGTTTGATTTTTCATAAATGGGGGTTTCCGGTAAAAAACTGTTTTTCCCGCCTCACCGCTACAAATTTCAATTGAGAAACTAGTTTTTTTGGAACATTATAGAACAAACTTAGAACAACCCAGAACAAACAACGGAACCAGAATTTTCGAGTTATGGGAGGCTAACTTCCCATACCCGAAATAAACCCGTATTTCTGAATATCCCTAATGCTTCCTACAGGCAGTTGACCTCCCTTGTGTTCTACGCGGTTCTACCAGCCCTGCCTTGGATCATTCATTTACGTGTCTACATCTCTATGATTGTCATTGGCTGAGTTAACTATATGTCAGGATTGACGTGTAATCTGAATTTGATATAAAAGAATGTTAAGGACTTCACTAAATAGATGTTTGAGATTTTAAGATTTCTAATGGAGAATTGTTTGGAAAAATATTGTTGATTATAATAATAGAAAATATATGGCAGTGTTACTTTATCTTGATTCTTTTTTTTTCAGACAGCAGGTGATCCACAGACACTGCTACGCTGCTTAAGGGATGTTCCATTGAATGCACTGGTTTCTGTACCAGTACGTGGTTTGGAATTTGCTCCCGCATTCGGACCCAGTATAGATGGGGTTGTTATTGATCCTGGGGATCCTGAGGATCAGGATTTCACTCTACAGGTCGACACGATAAACACGCTCAACAGTATACTATTGAGGAAAGACGTGGTGGCGAAATTGTCAAGGTAACTGTATACCTACTCAGTAAACTTAAATAACAGTTGAGATTTCCACTGCCATGCGCTTCATGAAATCCATGAAATCTCTGTCGGTAAAGGGTTGTTGGTACTATTTTATTGTACACAATTCTCTGACCTGTTAGCATCGTTATTACTATACCAATTGTATCATATTGAATAGTATTGGAACCGTGCAATTTTATCTTGAAGTAAATTTGTTCAGACCTTAAATAGTCATCGAAAAACAGAAAGGGAACCAAAACTAGAAGATACGATCGAACTACGTATTTAACTCGAACTAACCCCCCCAGTCAAAGAATCGAAAAACGGATAAAAAATTGGCACGTCACGAACACGCCCTGCTCAAATATATCATGTCCCATACTTACGATAGCATCCCTCTCAGAACAAAAAAAAACTTATAATGCAAGAATATTTGTTTGAAAAAGAGGGTGAATATTCATAGAAAGAGAAATTGCAAAGAGTGATGAAAGAGTATAGGGACACGGGGATGTACGAAAATTCTCAGGGTCACGAGTTGCGTTAATGTATACAATTTTGTGATAACGACAAAAATCAAATGAAAGTACAGGGGTAGTGTTTCTCGTAAGGTTAGGTAAGTAGGTACGACAAGGGTTGCGAGCTGCTACGGGTGCACCGTAAAAACACCGATCCAAGCCGATCTCACCCGAATGACCCAATGGAGCTACCCCGTGATACAGGAATCCAAGTACAGTCGTAAAAGTTAATAAGCGCTATTACACTAGGCAAATATCTCTGGGAAAGTAATCGGACGTGCAATTATCCGCAAAATCATGGAATTGCTCTTCCGGTATCTGACCACGTACCTACCTACCTATTTACTTGCACGAATGTGAAATCGCTGCCTGGATCGTTGTGATTTTAACATTCCTATAGAAATTTCACATAATATCATGCTTTATATTTACCTTCTGAGTGAGCAGCGGACGCGTGGAAAATTTCAGGTGGTCACCCACGTTTTATTCGACAGACCGTATAATTTATTCAAAAAGCATATTCGCAAGGCTGTTACGTTCAGGTGTACTAATTAGTTTCGACTACCGCTATTGTTTTAATCAGTCATCGTTTGGTATCAGCTGATCGATCAATCAGAGAATAAGCCCAGAGTTGATTGCTTGTATTTTGTAATTTGCTATACCTCCCCTGAGCGCGAGAGAGACATACTTATCGGGACTTGGATATGTAAGAGAGAGACAGTTATACTCGTGGCTCAAATTTATCAGTCCTGATTATACAAATTCAAGACTTTTCCATATCCGTCACTTACAAATTATTCGTAATTTCGATTATTGCTCTATACTCCAGCGAATACTCGAGAAAATGCAATATTCCTCGTGTTTTAATTAATATACTAAAATTGTATTACCCAAGCGATCGTCGCGCTAACTTCTCTCTAAACTTCTGACCGAAAGCGCAGTTGGTCTCGTCAAGTCCAAATCACATTTCATGCTCGAAGCGTTGAATATTTCTCAATAATTTAATATCTTCTATAACGTTCTCAGTCCTTCCTCGTATACAATCATTTAACCCTAAATGGGTTATATGCTAAAAATCCAATTTTAACAGACAATATCTAGAGTTGTTAAATTAAATTGAATTTTAAAAAATTGTTATTGCATCAATTTCAACGTGTCACACCTCATAGGCTAAACGTTGAAACTCGTCAGCGATAAGCTCGTACACGCTATTCCCTGTCACACCGTTATTTTTGTATCATTTTCTGAAAATAGCCAAAGGCTATCAGCGCGATTGTAGAGCCATAATATTTGCTTTAATATTTCAAAAGAAAACCGAATATCCACCATAGAGCGTGTATGCGCTTGTTCATACTATATGAATGTACTCGGTATAGTTACAGTGGTATAAGGTTACTCCCATCTCAACCTATGCACCAATGTACCAATATAGTTGGATACACGCGCGTAAAGGTAAAAAGTGTTTGCTTGTTTTCGCTGGTGAGATACGAGGATTCGTCCAAATAACAAATATAGAATCGGAGGATGTAAACTCGAAACTCATTACGGGGCTTTATAGCCAGCGAGAGACTGGACTGTGTTCGAATTGCGAAAAAACGAAAAATTACGTCCAACAACGGCCTCGACATTAAATACACGGGGAAACCTAGGGGCAAATGCCTCCGATATCAGGATATTGCTTTTGCTTGTAATTAAAGAAAAAAACTGGCGAAATGAGAAAAAAAAGTAATCGTAAAATCCTATAAACTTATCATAACTTTTTTATATAATCTCTTTGTCTCTTACTAACGCAGATACGATCTTATGGTTGGCGTCGTAAGATCCGAGGCCTACTTCTCGTTGACTGCCGAAGATGCTCAGTATGGTATCGAGGCTGATAGGAGAACGAAAATATTGCGCGAATTTGTACGCAATACTTACACGTATCATCAACCGGAAATTCTGGCGACGATTATCAACGAGTATACTGACTGGGAGAGGCCGGTTCAGCATCCTGTAAATATTAGGTAATACCTCAAACCTTATTTATGAATATACGAATTACATCGAAGAGTACTTTTTTTTTAATTTAGAGACGAAACACTAGAGGCCTTGGCAGATGCAAACACAGTTGCCCCGGCAACGAGAACCGCGGATCTTCACAGTCAATCGCACAGGAACTCCTACCTCTACGTGTTTGACTATCAAACGAAATTCGGTGACTATCCTCAGGTATGTTTTTAAGTATCTTTAACTAAAGAGAATAAACTACATGATTACAACGATATTATCACACACAGGTAATACACTCTCTTTTCTCTAACTGAGAGACTCATCCTGAACGCCCAGTTAAACCAAGTTTAATTACGTTCCATCGCTTGGCAAGTTCTCATCCTGAAACTGGGACCAGTTAGAAAATTTATACTTTTTTCCTCGAATCGTTGGCGATGGAAAATTTTTCCCACAACGGAACCATCGCCACGATTATTTCCCAGCTAATTTCCTCGTTTCCGGGTAAAACTGGAGAAGAGGGGTGCTGGATATATACACAGTATACTTGCTGTTCGAGAAACGCCCCAAAGGACTGATATATAGTTATTACTTATACAGTATCTGATTCGTGAAACTTCTCCTGGGAATCCAACACCAGACTTTACCTTGCTTAGGCGGTTGAAACTTTGAATGAAATTTAATCTATAATTATACGTGCTACACGTGGAGGATTTATGCGTCGCCACGTGCATATGCATCACTAGTTGATTAATTGCCAAGAGGCCCTACGCGTACAAGATTAACGATCATCCACCTAAACTATTTGAACGCGAACGCTCAGTCCTGAAACTTTACTGTAGTAACTGACAATGTTGTGAAGAAAAAAAAAACATTTTAGACGGATAGTCCACGTTACGGATAGCCCTTGTCTACGTAACTTGTACGTGTAGCTATATGTTTTTGCATGGCGATATTTTCACTCTAAATGGGGATGCATTTAGTAAGAAATTATATAATATATTCCAGCACTCAAGGTACGGTCGACTGATCGAAGTAACGGTTAAGCGCGTAAACGCGGTGCCAAGTAACCATCAAAGGCAGACATCGCTTCAGGGGTATTGGCACGACTTTAAATTTAGAATATCGATTTTACGTCAGCCAACGAGGTGCGATAACCCGTGTGTGCTAAAGGATATAACTGGTTAGCGATGTCGAATCACGTAGATTGATTCTAAGGACATTATTCTCTAAGCTTATTTTTATCACAAATGGATAAAAGTCATATAATCCAATAGCATGGTTAGTTATTGTAAGACATAAGAAAATAATATACAGTTACTGTTATATAGTCTGGCTTGTTACCGTTCATTGTAACTGTATTAAAGTTCTTTCCTTAGGTAGTTAATAATTAATTGAAGAATTCTAACGTATCGTTAACAAAATCTCTAGACAGAATAAGCGATGTTAAATAATATAGAGCTACACACGACTTAGGTAATTTTAGCTTAACCCGAGAGATTCGAGAAGTTACTTTTTATCTTCGTTAGATATTCATACATTAAACGCGTGTGTACGAAATTTCAAAGAGTCATAAACTGTGTCTGCGTATATTATCGTATATGGGTTTTTTTTTTGTAGCTAAATCTGTGGAAAGTTTATTTGAAATTTTCTATTTAAACACATGCGGTTTCAGGCTTTCTGTATACAATGTACACGTGCATGTAAACTAGTACGAGTGGTACGAATCCACGTGTGCACTGGTAGCCACGAATATTTCCATTTTCACTTTTTTACTAGAGACTCTTTTTTGAAGTTAAACCTGTGCCATGTTCTACTGACTGATCTACCGTCACCCCTACCTACTATAACGCTCTCATGGTTTACTTTGCATAGGAATACCTCTTGAATTCTGCAAAGAGTAAGTTTCGCATTTCCACGTCCACGATACAGCTACTAAAAAGTAATTGAAAGAAGTCCAACGTTAAGTAAACGTTAAGTACTATTTTTCAAAGAGACTCAAACGGTACACGAGGGTATGCATAAATTGAAATTTTAGTTCAATAAATTTTTACTGCATATTAAAGCCTACGTACCTATATGAAGGAGACATAAAAATGTCAAATGATACGAATCGTTCGGATGCACAAGATATAATTGTAACGTATAGCTTGGGTTTCAACCTGATATCTTGACAGTCGATATAACAGGCCAGTGTAACTTCCTATAGCCTTGTGAAATGTCCAAAATTCAAAGCCAGGACTCGACCGTGTGAGCGACGCTGAATCAAAGGTAAAGCGAAAAATCAACGAGCTTCGAGGCAGTTCATGTGGGAAGATAGCCGAGAGAAGGGGAAATAAAAAAAAGAACAAATCCAGCTGTCCATGGCAGCTAGAGAATTTTTCCCCTCTATAAATTGTCCAAGCCAACGGGATATACCATGGGTATATGGCGACGATAGTCCAAGTATTTTCAAAGGTCCTGGTAAGGGTAAAGCAATTTTCTAGTCCTTCCTTCGACCGCGTGCGCTGGCTCGCCGAGTGTTAGGAATCATTCGGAAGGGTCGAGAAGCCAATGGCAGGTTCCTCCCTTCGTTCAAAGGGACAGGAAGCCAAGTGGCTGCTAGGAAGGACCACCCTCGGACACGTATATATTACTTCCACTGGCTCAGAACGTCCGTGGATATAAAAGAGAATGAGTAAGGAAGAATGGGAAGAGAAAGAGAGAATGAGACCTTAAATCATTTGACTAAAGTATCCCTACTAAATCATTCGACAATGGCATCCCCCCGCAGGATTTTTCAAAATATTAGAAGGTCGTTTAGCAAGACGCGACTTAATAATTCAGGAACGTGTGCGTGAAACTTGACGAGGATCCGACATTGATATTACGGGATCCGCCTTTAAGATTCCATGACATACTTTACTCATATAGGATATAAGTGAATATCTTTCGCCATTATATTCGACAAAGAACGATCGAACCCGTTTCCTGTCTCAGGTATTTTTTTCTTTTTTTTCTAGGTTATTTAATGTCTCGGCGGTACCCATGCGTTCTCTTATTTTTTTCATATAGTCCTAGCAATTACGTATCTCGATCTTTCTTCAACGTATCACATAGGACTCGACCATCTGGTCCTTATGGGAAGAAGAGTCTCTTGTGGTCTAGAATATTCGACTCACGTAGTCGAGTCGCTTTCGCGGCTTCGTCTATTTGATACTTCATGGGCGAACTGTACGTTGGATGGAATCGAAGGTGCGAGAAGAGATGCCGGATTAACTTGAGGAAATAAATGAAAAGTCATCGCACGTACAAAGGAGACGGCTAGTCCTTTCAAGAGGACGTCGAAGCGGTGTGAGACTTTTGCATTAGTAAGAATTCTAGAGCTCCGGCCGTGTCCTTGGGATCAAATGTGAGAATAGGATGGTAGAATAGGTCGAAGCGCACTTGGAAAATCCCTCGCTCAGTCAAACGTTCAGTCAAGTGGTGGAAGTAGAGAAGCCTGATGTTAGATGGCAAGTAGTCAACCAGTCGAGCAGGAACACATATCACACTTGCTCTCTGCAGTCTTGGTCTGAATATCTTCGGTAGAAACCGGAGCGGGAGGAAAAGCTTTTTCTTTGAGATACGAGCGTCGTCCGTGTCGTTAAAATACCATCAATACCTCACTCACTGCGATATTGTACCATGTGTTATGGAAGCTGTGAATGGGTGGATTTAAAATTTCAAAAAAAAATAAAATCAAAAAGACTGGCTTATACAATTTAAGAAAAAAAAGTGTAAATTATATTTTTTTTAAATTCCCCTAATCGTATCAAAATTGAGGGTAATAAAAAATGCGAAAAAGTTTATCGGAATTATTTATTATAATTATTTGGTATCTTTAATTTAAAAGAACTTTGCTCTCGTTACAGCGGCAGGGTTGTATTCACGGCGAAGAGTTGCCCTACCTGTTTGGTGCACCATTGGTTGGTGGTCTTGCTCACTGGCCCAAGAATTACACGAGAGCTGAACTGGCCCTGTCAGAAAGCGTCATACTGTACTTCACCAACTTCGCACGTACCGGGTGAGCAATTTTACTTGGATGGTAAAAACATAATATTTACACTTATACTAGAAGTTCTTATTTAACAGTAATTAATCTTATTTAGGAACCCTAACGAGGGGACTCCAGATCCTGGACCACCGGGTTCACGGCCTGAGCGCACCAAATTGAAGAATATTGAATGGACTGCCTATGAAGCCGTGCATAAGAAATACCTCAGTATAGGTATTTTACCAATTATAATCCTTTGCCTGAAGAGCTTTGAAAAGTGCCCCCTATCTTGCGGGCTCAGTTAAATACCCTTTGAGAACTGAAAGTGGCACAGAACTTGGGAATTCAGGTTCATTTTTCCTGTCTAAAAGTTAGCTACGTGGGATTGGGATCAAAATTCTCGAAATTCGAAAAACCCTCGTTGATATGTCCATTACCTTAAGGAATAAAAGGTGTCTACCAACCACCTCACCCCTACGAATAAACTGACGTATAATGACGGTCGCGGCGCCCTCTTTTTTTTTCCGACTCACCAGATTCTCCCTCTTATCATCCCCTCTACGCTATCATAGTCAATCCTACCACCATCCTTTCATATCATCTCCCTAAGCTTCACTACCATCTCGCCTTTACTTTCCAACCCTCTAGACGACGTCTTACCTCCATTTTTATTTTTTTTATCTATATTGACGCACCTGGATACGTCCTACCCTTCTTACTCCAATTTATAAGTACCTATTTAAGTGTACAAGACGACTACCCTTGTATCCTTTCAACCCCAATCTCCTCATGGCTTTAATATCGCTCGCTGATAGCAATTAGTGAAGAATGTTCATCCCCATTCATTTTCATGATTCAATTTCTCCATAATTATCAAACGGAATATCATTAATGAGAAATAGGGAGGAATTGAGAAAGTCCTTTTTATGATTAATTTATTTTTTATCATTGCCATAAGATTAAAAACAAATATTTAATTTCGATTCAATCAGAGCAGCAATTATACGCAATGTTGTCGTTGATAAATTATTACTACATTTTTCTTACAGATATAAAATCCAAACTGAAGAATCATTATAGAGCACACAGATTGTCTTTCTGGCTAAACCTGGTACCTGATCTTCACAAACCAGGATCTGACGACGTCCCAAGATCTCATCACCTGCTGGATGCAGAACAGGTGTGAATTTTAAGATGATTCTATATTTCCTGTAAAGTCTTATTTCAATTATATAGCCAATATGAATTTATTTGTCTTAATTCAGGTGCCGCCCAGATTTATCCAAAGGATACCAACAACCACAAAACCGACAACGCTTGAATTAACCACAGAAAAAGTTCACAACACGTCCACGGCTCTCCCAAGCGAATTAGCCGTCGAGGAAGCTACGTCACAACCAGAAGATGGTTTCGCCGCGTATTCAACAGCTCTAAGTGTAACGATAGCAATAGGCTGCAGTCTCCTGATCCTGAACGTTCTCATCTTCGCGGGTGTTTATTACCAGCGCGACAAGAATCAGCACAACTGTCCGAAGAAGCGTCAAGAAAATGGTCAAATGCCAAACAACATTTGCGGAGAGTTGGAAACGAAAACGGAGAGACATCACATTCAGCATATACCGCCCCCTGAATTTGCGGATTTGCAAAATAATTCTTGTCACGTGCCAATGCCACCGCCACCGCCGAAGAACACGAAACCAGGAAAAACTGGACAAAATCTTATCATCAGTCCCAATCAACTACAGCAAGAAAGCATGGCGATGGTCGGTGGCGGTACTTTGAAGAAAGGACACAATCATCAACAGATAATGGAGGAACTCAGGGTCTGACTTTAGGGGATGATGACGACGCGTGCGCGCGCGCATTTGAAACGTTTAGAAACTTTACGTCAGGTGCGAAATCGAGTGCGTGTTGTTAGGGGATGTTGTCTCTCATCCAAAACCAGGACGCTCGCTGTACGATCGGCCTTTGGTTTTCTAATTGCGGATGGAAGTATTATGCTACATTGCGTTTTCAATCGTTTTGTTGTTCGTAACGATTCGATTCAATTACGTTAATTGTTCGTATAGTGTACAAAATTCATGTATAACGTATACAACACTTGACGTTGACTTTAATACTTTACAGTCTGATTAACTGCCAGTGAACGTTATTTCGTAACTTGGGTGTATTTTTGACAGTGCGGATAAGGGTAGATCCTTTTGCGGTCAATTGAAAACTCGGGATATGAAATTGGGTAGTTTTATTTATGTCAGTTATTTTTGTAAATTTTTATTTATCGACTTTGTACAATATTGAGATTTCGAATAATTTCGATATATCTGATGGAATTGATTTGAGGAGTAGTAATTTCCAAATTCTTTTTTTTTTCGAAGTTTGTAATCATTACTACGTTTATCGTCTTGGTTCAATGACTTTATCATAATCAGTGCTACCAATTCCAGCAATTAACTGGCAACGGACTGTCTACTTAACGCGTCGTTGATAACGATTATCAAAATACTTCCAGTAATCGTATAATCGGGATGATCCGGACGACGAAGGTTGATTCAACTGTGTAAACGATGTGAAATTTCAAAACCTCGTATTTCTTTCTTTTTTTTTCCCCTTACAGAAACGCCTAGAGAAAAAGTTTGCACTAATCGAGACGTTACAGGTTAACGTATATTTTAACCAGACTTTTAATAATGAATGTACGGCATACTTTGTAAATAATGGGGTAATCATAATTTAGTGCAATCGATCCAGTCGCCAATAGATTTTACGACGAGTATTCGCGAACTCGATGGCGACTATGAATTCCCATAAATTATTAAATTAAATTAAAAAGGTGTAAATGAACGCTGTGAATGGGACTTTTAGTTCGAACGGTGATGGCAGCATTGACGGAAAGTGAGTTGGAGGGGAATTAGTGAACATGCGTCACTGACGTCGAAAGTATTGGACGTGAAAGAAATAATAAAAAATTTGTATATAATTGATATTGTCATGAAGCAAAAATAAGTAACGATCATTATTGTCGGTGGGATAAAGGAAAGTTTGAGATTATTGGTATAGGAAAAGGGCAACCGAAAATAGTGTCGAATTGGGTAAACTTAAGTAGCGTTAATGTCAATGCTTTTAAGTCCACTGGAATTGACAATGTTAAAAATAGTTAGAAAATTATTTCAAGATATATATCTGCCAACAGGAATTTAATTGATAAAGATTTATTGATTTTCTACTATTGATTAAACACTATACGTATATCTTTTACACATCAATTTTCCATTATATATTTATTATGGCAATTAATAAAGGCGCTGACATTAATGTTATCGATAGATAATAAACTGACCGTGGACAAAAGTTTGTTTATTATATTATTATGTGTTAGAGAGCGAGATGAAAGGGTATCATCGTTACCTAAAGAAGGTTGCACTATATCACAAACAAGCCTGCACGATATTGCAATAATACAAAAACATAAACTGAAAAACTAATGGTGAGTGCTAATGAATTTTCATTAATAAGTTCTCGATGCACGTTCAGTCACTATTAAAAATAAAGAAAAAAAAATACTCTTTGCTCAACTCGTCGGATGTGATGACTTACGCTAAGCAGTATACGGAAATTCGACAAGCACGCAATTCCCACGTGACGGTCGAAATAAAAATTTTTATTTTGATGGCAGATTGATAATAAATAAAAGCACAATTTTACGATGAGCATAAATGACGTTTTTATAATTCGTTACCAATGCTTCTGTTAAGATGTGTTCAAAAAATTCTAATTGTGCTAGTAAAAAATTAATGATATCAAAATTTTAGATATCAGGATACACGTCGAACAGGATACACAGTGTTACTTTTGAAAATTCGAATTACGTCAAAAAAAAATATCTCTTCCTATGGATTTATTTTAAATTTTATGTATCGACAAATATAATATACGTCGCTGCAATATTGTGGGATTGACAGATTAACGAGAAATTGATGTTCCGACTGACTGCATTTTCTCGTTATCAATTTTACATTCGAATCATTTATTTTCACTGATAAAACCACCGTTGCGGCGACATGGAAAAAAAATTGACAAATAGCTCCTCAGTAATTTTGATGCATTTGTTGGTTTTTTTACGTATTTTCGATAATTTTTGTATTATTGCAAAAGAAACTGTTATACAACTATAGGCACAATACATCCAGATGATGAGAAAATGCTGATAACTTTGCAATCTACAGTTGAATGAAAATAATTATCAGTTTTAATTAGGACCATTAACATTGCAAAACCAACTCGGAGTGGATAAGAAGATGGAAGAAAGTTTTTTTATCATGTGAAACGTACACGATAACACAATCATAAAACGTAATCGATATGTAATTAATGCAAGACGTAAACTGTGTGACGAAGTGATCCGGATTGTTTTCATGTTAAGTTACTAGGACAATGGACATAAAAACTGTTTTCGCGATTGAACTTTAAGTCTACACGAAATCACGTTTATCACTGAGATATGAGGTAACTTTGCTACTAAGTAAGAACACGTCACATAAATGACAAAGTTTTTGTGAGATGAAATAAAAATGATGACCACTAACAACTTGACGTATAACTTTAATATACACCATTATTAATAATAAAATATTCGTATTACATTAAAATTGCTTTTAAGTTCAAGTTCTGATCTTTATTTTTAACAACTTAACGTACGCACCATGAGTGCAATATAAACTACTTTTTCCAGATGATAGATTTTTGCAAAAACAAAAATGTATTTTCATTCAATCAGTTAGATGCTCACGTGACTAATGTTCCCGTGTGAATAGGTTAGATTAGTCCCTATTTTTGGAACGTCATCAGAGAATAAAGCGCGCCTGAACTTTTTCACGGCAGGGTAAGTAAAAAAGAATGTAATTATTCACTACGTGCCTACGAATGCAGATCCCACATCTAAACATATTTCAGTGAATAAACAAACAGAAAGTCCAGCAGAAAACATCGTGGAAAAAAATTGATGGCATTGATATCGGACCTGTCTACGTATGCACATAGTCAATACTCCATAACGTAATACATGACGTTTGAAAATAGAGAAATGTAATTTGGCAATATATACAAAAATACAAGATTCAACTAATGATCTTTTATATTTCGGAGAGTTAAAAATTTTGTTTCTATATCCTTAGGCAAGCGAAACTCTTCGATACAGGGAAGTATATACTTTATAAAGTGATTTTGTAATGACATTTTTGTCCGTTGACCACAGTCCTGAAAATAAAATTATATTTTTAAATAATGTAGTAATTACATGTTTAATAATGTAATATAAAGTATTTCTATTTAATCGTATATTGAATAGAAATCGATCAGTCGACAACATTACCTCTCGTTGAATCATATGATGCCAGACGTCAAGACCTTTAGCATGGTCTATGAAGTCATTCTCAATCAAGAAGATCAACATATGCAATTTTTCCCATTTCGCAAAGTTTCTCCTGGTCACAGTTACAATAAAATATTAATTACAGTTATATACAAAGTTTAAATAATATAGTTATTTAATAATTACGTTCGTGGTGCTGCTAAATTTTGAGCTTTATGTTTGGCCCATGTCAACCACTCCTGAAGATTGAGATTTGTCTTAATAGACTTTCCATTTTTTTCAGAATTGATATTCAATTTGGATCTAATTACAAAACAGAAATGATTTGATTCATTAATACTATTTGTACGTTATGATAACCGTAATTGATAAAAAATATTGCTGCGCAATTTTACACAGAAAGCGAACATATTTACCGCACGGGGCAATACGATGCATTATTGCTCTCATCCTTGACCTTAATATGATGCACCGCGTCAGAATCATCGCTAATAAAAAAAAAATATTAGTAATAAAATAAAATAGTAAAAAATATATTGACAAAAATAAACTTTGATTCTTCACCTGATTTCCGACTCCGAGATAAATACAGTCGGATCTTCATCCTCGCTATTATCTTTTTTAATACGTGACTTAGTGTTCTTAAGTCTAGCAGGTTCATTAACATCATCAGAATCATCACTGGACACTACATATGATTTATTCGGCAATGCCGTACGAGGTCTCAGAATACGATTTGCTTCATCACTGAAAATACCCTCAGGATCTGTAACCGAACCAGTGGAATCCTCATTCGATTGTGGATCTTTATTTAACGTTGGATTTCCATCAACAGATGCATTACATGTTGGTAGGTTGTTCTTGCATTGTGGTACTGTAAAATTGGAATATAATTAAGGATAGTATGTTACAAAGTTGTAAAAGGTTTAAGACTCTTCGAATTACTACGTAATGGTGACCGGATTTTACTTATTTCACTAATACAAATATCATCAGGATTATTTAGATCAGCAATTAAGTTTGTGCTTTTTCTTGCACAAAGAGAATTCTTTTCTTCATGTGAATCATAAAGCTTCCGTTTCTTAAATTTCTTTCCCTTCTTATTAGTATCATTAATTGCTAATACATCTATGTTACTGCCAGATGACAACTTACTCTTACAATACTCTCTTTTTATAAGTGAGGTCTCAGATTTCTCTTTGTCTTTTCTAGATATCTTTCTTTTTCTTTCTCCACAATCGCATCTATCATGATCTTTCCCATTATTTGATCTGGGAGATTCCTCTTCTTCACTAGATACTCTCGACCATTTTCTTGCAGCTATATACGACATAAAAAATGGATTAATCAAATATAATGATCGTCCTTCATCATTATTACAAAGGTCTTTATTACATTTTGCATTAGTTCTTGCTCTAGATTTTAAACTATTCTTGATAATACTCGATACTGAAGTTTCCTCAAATTCTTTTTTTTCTTGTTCATGACTTTTCAATTTATATGTTACCAAAACATCTTTTTCTGCTTTCTTTTTACTTTCATCTTTTATATAACTCTCATGTTCTTTCGCAGAGGTATTGACTACTCGAATAAGTTCCACATCTGGTAAATTGGAGATTTTATATGCATTACCACATTGCAATACTGAAAATTTTTTCTCCAAATTCCATAACTGATCTGATTTGCTATCAGATGACATACGAATAATTTCAGATGTATCATGATGTGATTTATGTTTTGCATGATCAACAGCTCTTTTAACAGATCTTTGACTGTCTGAGTCTAATTGATCTATTTCTATCGCCTGCTGTGTTACAATTGTTCTGCTTTCAGTATCAGTATGCAACTTGTCAATTCCATCCTGTGTTGCTTGCGTTAATAATAAATTACTGTCAGGAGAATAATTAATCAAGTGTTCTACTGTCTTATATATGGAAGATACTTCCTGAGACGATGCATTACCATTTGTTTGTAATTTTTTTAATTTAGGAGAAACCTATTTAATTTTACAGTATATTTAATAAGATGCTAAGAAATTTGAAAGTTGAGTATTTTTACTAAGATGTGTACCTCAGTTTCATCTTGAAGGAGACTGGGGTGCTTTCTACTAACAGATTTCAAAGATTTTTTAGCATCACTGAAACCCTTTTTATATAATGTATTTGATGTTATCACTCTCCACTCATCAGAAGCGTTTTTTGATGGCATCGGTGAATAATTTAGATCCAGAATTTCAAAAGTATTTCTGTTTTAAAAAAATGTACCGAACATGAAACATATATATTATAGTATTTCATTCAATGAAATATGTTCGAAATTTCATATCCCTTCCAGAAACATACCTAGATCCACAACTTGAACAGATGTTGTTTTGAGGACATGGATTACTGACACACCTACTGTAACAACTTTAATATAAAATACCATAATGATAAATTAAAACTAATTTTAATCAATTATCACTTACTACATGCATGATGGACTTCCATACAAAAATATTGACATAATGCATCCGTCATATGCCTTTCTTGGACCGAGCCTAAATATTAGGTATCAGGTTTTCAGATATATATTAAGATGAAAGTAGCACTGCAGTTTTTCAATAGCTTACTTGTATTTATGAAGATCTCCAATTTCTTTCCACATCACACAATCCTTAATAAATTGAACATCGTACATGACCTTCCCAGGAACGTAATTATCAGGGACAGTGAAGTTGATTGCTAGAGGATCATCAGTATCTACTATTTCACCCCCATTATCCTAAGAAAAAAACTTACAATTCAAAAAATAATGAAAATACATGAAACTTAACATTTATCGTATTGAACATAATAATATCATTCATTGTCACACACTACAAACATAATCTATTACAATTAAAAATATAGCTTATCTAAAACATTTCAAATTACTTAATGAAAAGGGCGCAATATCCTCTAGTAAAAGATATTCCTTACCAAAATCATTTTTGTAATCTCCTCACTCACATTATCTGGCAAATTTGTTAAGCAAAATTTAAATGCCCTATCATTGTAGGAAAACAGTGGCATTTGATACATATTGTCTGTCACGCAGCTTTAAAATACCTTTCTTCCTTTCCTTCTGAGCTTTAAAAGAGCTGCACACTTATTTTGACTGGTTCGACAGAACGATGCAGTTTAATGCAGTAAGTAATAAACTCGGTGAGAGCATTCACTGCCGTAACTGACGCTCAAGCGAACATACCGATGCTGGTTTCAACAATGGCCACCTGAGCGCGGAACTGTCGCATCAAGACTAGTCCCTCTAGTAAGAGACTGGCCAACACCCGGAAGGGACGCCATATTAAGGGCTTGTTTGGCGCCACCATGACATTGCGCGAGACTCGGTCGAGTCTCGCGCCAAGTACAGGCAATCCGCCGTACAGGGCTTAACGCTACCCACACTACACAATGCGAATCTCTCCCATACACGTATTCACACACACCATTCTATTCCGGAAAGAGCCCACAATATGGCGGAGCCAATCACTAACAAGCCCCACCGTTGGCCGGACTCTGACTAGAGGGACTCTAATCAAGACCGGGCTGCGGCAATCTTTAAACGACAAAAATGTATTATTACCATGTATTACTTATTTTGATAGGAAAAGCATAAAATAGTTCGATTTGAAGTGCGGAGATGACTATTTTTTTCGATAATTTCTTTGCCACAACGAACTGGTTAAACAATCTCTTATTTAAAACCTACCTAGCAGTAATCGTTTTTTTTTTATATTAATAAATTGATTAATAAATTGTTCATATTAAAAGAGATAAACAGAGTGATAAAAACAGCCTCGTTTTGCGTGTATTAGTGTTTGTTTCACAAAAAAAAACCACTTTACTATCCATAGTTCGACCCTTTCACAGGTTAGAGCACAATTTAGTAATTTCATTTTTTTTCATGAGAATGGGGAAAAGATATTCTAGATAGGGAATGTTTCAGATTAAATAGTTTTGTTTGTATTGCATGCAAATGCACTTGGGACCCCCATCGTACCGATTTAACTTTTCTTCTAATTCAGAATATGAAAAAGGGGTGTGGCGCCATTCTCCCAGACCGCCGATTCAGCTGTTAAATTTTTTATTACAGCTGTTATTCATATTACAGCTGTTAAATTTTTTAAGTGATAAATATTTATATACAACGGATCTATCCCATTAAAGTCAGGCCTTGACGCGCTCCGAGCGCCGCCTGTTATGAAAAGATCGAACTGACGTCCTGCCGTCGAAGTGAGCTTTACATTTCTCACATCCGTAGTAGAGGAGTGTTCCCATCTGTTTTATTACTACATTGTTTTCGTCAATGTTTCAATTTCCGTTACGTTTCATACCAACCATAACTGAATCCTAATACAGGCGACAGTGCTCGACATAAAACTTTAATTAGTGAAGAATGTTAATCTTTTTTCCACAGTATATTTTTCACCAACCAAAGATCTAAATTCAAGCGCTGGCGTTTATATAAAGATTCAGCTAAACTCCAGTCGCACTTGTGAAACGCGCGTTTAAACGCAATTCTCGACCACTAACAAAACGTAACTCTATGAGGAACTTTGTACCATTGGTCGAAAGTTCACGTTTGAACGCGCGTTTGAAAATGTGATTAATCCCTAACAGGATAATCTAATGCCAGAGATGAGTAGGAGGATTACCAATAAGCTGGTTTTCATGGTCCAAGTTTTATTTTGTGAGATTGTTTCTATATGTAAAACAGTATTCAAGCACTCAACCAAACATGCGCTAACTGCAGCCGGTTACCAAATGTTTTATGACTGTTAAAAAGTCTATTAAATTATTATAAAATGAATGAAACCAATAGATATCCGATTCAATTATCATCGGATTCAATCAAGGCAATCGAAGGTATTTGTATTCCTATTAAAAATTATTCGTAATAAATACGTAATAGTATCTAATAAGATTTTATAGGTTAGGTTACCTAATAAACAATACATTTCTTATTGAAATCAATGGAAATTTCATTAATTCATAGTAATAAATATCTATAAGATTTGATAACAAATTCCCGATGCACAAATCTGATTCCTTCTGGCTAATTATTTTCATTCGATTTTAATAGATTTTTTTAAGTAGGGTTCCTTCTTCTTCTATAAATATTAAATAATGTAACTTGATACGAGACTCTACCAAATCTCTCTATATATGATTTTTTCTGATATTTTTTCAATCATAATATTAGAACACGCATGTGACTCTCAATTATTGGAACCGAATGAAATCAATATCATTCCACATAGATGGAACGCTATATTATTGATGCTCGGCATTATTTCATTGTAATGGAACAATATAAATTCAATAGGAGGTATATATCTTTATCCCTTATATAAACTCGTTGATCATCGAACCAAAGGCAAAAATCTTAGAAATATAAAACGATACGCTTGACTCTCTCCTACTGCAAAATTGTATAGTGAAAACTAATATTTCACAATGAAAATATTAATTTTATTAGCCATACTTGTCAATATCTTATATTACGTAAATTGTGGAACTATTACGAAGAATATACTAAGAAATAATTCCGAATCAAAAGCTCTCGCTGGATTATTGGTACATATTATTAATAAATATTTCGATGATTGCGCAATTATAATTATTTACGACGCTCACTTCGAAAATAGCGAATTTCTTCCACATTTCCTTCCAAAAATCACACAAACATTCGTTCACAAAAGTCTCAACTTTTCACTCGTCGATAAAACACAAATTGCCTTTAATAATAAAAATTACAATTATATACTCTTTCTTGAAAATTTATCAACAATAAAGTACGCTATCGATCGCGAGACTACCAATAAAATAGTTATCGTCACTACAGCAACTTCTTGGTTAGTTAATGATTTCTTGAGAAGTCACACATCCAAATCATATATTAATTTACTAATCATCACACAAAGTGCCCGTAAGAAGAGAAATGTAAGTGAAAGGAATATATAAAATTTAAAACGATTACTATAATCAAATAATATTTCACTTTGATTTATATAAATAAACACTTAAAATTTATCGTTTATCAGGAAAATGCATATTTGCTGTATACACATAAATTATATCTGGATGGCGTTGGAACGAGTAAAGCAATCTTACTGACATCTTGGATCAATAATTCATTGACAAAGCCACACGTTCTACTATTTCCGGATAAATTACAAGATGGCTTCAAAGGTCACAGGATTTTAATATCAACCGCACACCAACCGCCATTCGCTATAAGGAAGTAATATATATTTTAATATTCAATATATTACCAGTTAATTCATTTCTATAATTACAAGAGAAATTTCTTTATATAAATTATTTTTTATTGTGCAGAGCTATTGCCGGTACCGATGAGATAGCGTGGGATGGAATCGACGTACGTTTAATCAAATTACTCGGTGACATATTAAACTTTACAGCAGATTTTCGTCCGCCAACATCAACGACACTTAGGTGGCTCTAATTAATAACTAAGTACTTGTATAACATATAGCAATGAGGATCATTAATATATATTTTCCCTCCAGTCCAATCGCTGCAGCAACAAATGACATCAGAATGGGCTTGGCTTCTATAGCTATTGGTGGAATTTACAAAACGACGAACATAACCTCTCGTTTCGACACTTCTTTTGGTCACATTGAAGACTGCGCGTCATTTTTATCACTTGCATCTACTGCATTACCCAAGTAAAGATGGCACCCAGCAAAGAAAAAAACATTATGCCAAAAAACTATAATTTTCTTTTTATAGATATCGCGCCGTTCTTGGTCCTTTTCAAATAACTGTCTGGATTCTATTGACATGTTCATATTTACTTGCAATTGTTCCGTTGACAATGAACAGCGAATACTCTCTACTATCTCTGCTGACCCATCCGAGCAGGACAAGCGACATGTTCTGGTTTGTGTTCAGTACATTTACGAACTGCTTCACTGTGAAAAATCCTTTGTTGAACTACGGACTAGGAAAGAATTCTACGGCGATTCTAATTGGTACGGCGAAGCGTGAAAATCGTTCCAACGAGTACAGTCGGTTTCACTTATTTTTTTTCTTTATTGTTCCCTCGTTACCGTCGGGAAGTTAACGCCGGAAAATAAAAATTTGTATGTTTATAATGCTTAAAAAATTGCTCCTTAAATGCTCCATATGTTTCCGTAATTGCTCCACTGCTAATATGCAGTGATTAATAAATATTCATTAAAACAGAAAATTTTTATTTTCCCGCGCTAACTTCCCGACGGTTCCCCCCTCGTTCCATTCGTTTCTCCGTGCTCAGCCGGTATACCTTTCTTACCTATCGTTAGACCGTTACCCACCGACCCATGAAGCCATCTATACCAAACGAATACGTATTTTACCTAAATAGGATCATTACCGACTTCACGAGATACTTATAACCATTTTCAATCTAATTCATTACTGTTTTCAGGTATTTATTGGGTATTTACTATCATTGTAACGTCTTGCTATACCAGCTCTATTATCGCCTTCATCACTGTGCCCGTCTATCCAACCGCAATGGAAACGGTTGAGCAACTTCTCAGATACAGATATCGAATTGGAACTTTGGGTAGTAAACTATATATTAATAAGAACACGCATAATCTATATTGAAACAATATCGCTGTTCTAGATCATGATGGATGGGAAAAGTGGTTCGAGGATATCGACGATCCAATGGCTCAGAAATTATTAAAAAATATCGAATGTATTCCTTCAGTCGAAGATGGCGTCAGGAATGTCAGTCGAGCTTATTTCTGGCCATATGCATTTTTAGGGTCTAAAACATTATTGGAATACATAGTCCAGGCTAATTTTACTCCAAGGTAGTATATTTATTGGATTGACTATCTATATTATGTATTGTTCTTTTATGAAACTCTGAATGAAATCTACTACCGATCTTACGAAATGTTCGTCAGACCCGTTTTATACATTTTTTTTAAAAACTTCGTTCAGCTGGATAACCAAGAGATCTCTTATGCATATCAGTCACGAGTGTTTCATGAAATTCGGCGTGACTTTCGTGCTACCACGTAAATCGGTTTACACGGAGGCTTTCAGTAGCGTGATTTATCGAGCACAACAGACCGGCCTCGTTGAGAAGATCGTTCAGGACGTTAAGTGGGACATACAGCGTACAGCAACGGGAAAGTTACTACAAGTGAGTCAATAGTGAATTGTAGAAATGACCAGTAGACACCTGTACTTTCGAAATTAATCGATACCTCTGTAATTAGGCAAGTTTTATGCGAATTAATCATTTCTACTTTCGATTAGGTCACCAAAGGTCCTACGCTACGCCTGACACCGGTTGAGGAACGTCAATTAACTCTAGATGATGTTCAGGGGATGTTTCTTGTATTTGGGGCTGGTCTACTGATAGGATTCTTTGTTTTATTACTAGAATGTCTTGTTCATAGTGTATTTACTTATTGCTGCAAAAAGCATACGGATGAATCGGTAGCTACAACTATAGATTGGCATGTTGATCCGGAAAGTATTGAAAACTTAGCAAGTACTGAATCGGACTTTCGTAATTTAAGACATAGAAAGGTTAGGAGAAGCGTATGAAGAATAGCTCAAAAATGACCAAATATTATTGACGTCGAAACTGTTATTTTAATATTTCTGAAAAAAAGTATACTTTATTAAAAATTGTCTGTATCACTTTTTTTAAGTATTTGTCGTGAGTATCGAATCGTCGAAATCAAATTTTTGTTTCTTTCAAAATACATTCAGTATATCATTCCAGCCACATTGAGCTTTTTCACTAGTCTCCATTGGTGGAACTTCGATTCGCGTGCACATCTGAACTTAAATTTGACAGCAATCATACGTCAATGAAGCATCATCAGCTTGAATTTTTTTCGCCAGAAATCTAAGCAAAACTTTTAATCACTATCCCGTAGGAAGTACAACATGAATCTCAGGAAAATATCAACGAATCTAAAACTCCCCAATTATGCATTAGCAATTGCTCAAGATTATTTACCATCAACATTCTTTCAATATGATTTCAGTAAGTATCAAAACAGCAAATATAATTGCATTAATTGTACCAACGCTAAATCCCATCAGAAACGTCAAATCAAGTTAGACCAGCACACACGGACATTCCAAAACCAAATTTTCAGGAATACCGTCGAAAACCTTTAGAAAATCCAAACGCACTATCATCAGAGAGTGTCGACAATCGTCGTGCCATCATGTCTCTCTTTTCATTTGGTGAGCAGAGTCATTCGTCTATTTAAAATTTCTTAGCATTTGTCATCCACAAGATTTATTCGTTCCTCCTGGTTGGAAACTATAGAAATCTTGCTGGTGTGTTTTTCATTACGCAATTAGGTCGAGCGTGACATCACAACGTATCTTTCGACATCCGCGTTACACGCAAGGCTTAAGAATGAATTAACAGATGAAAACTTGGTCCCATTTTTCATTGATACAGTCGGAGGCATTGGAACTTTGTACGGCTGTAAGGCCCATCTCGTGCAATACGTGTTATTCCTCAGTCCAGCCCGAGATGTTTTGGCGACCGCATCAACAAGCGTCAGCATAACCGATATACCTGAGGGTAAAACAATGATTGTCAAATGGCGTGGAAAGCCAATTTTCATCACACACAGGTAGAAAAATTAATTACTACATTTCAATATATTTCTCGGATCAGTTTTATAATTATAACTTTAGTCTCTAGTCGATACGTATTACTCATGCATAACTGTTTCAGAACCCAACAAGTTATCAATACAGAACGCGCTGTGAATTTGGCTGATCTAAGACATCCGGAAACGGATGATCAACGCGTTCAACGTCCAGAATGGTTGGTAATCGTTGGTATCTGTACGCATTTAGGATGCGTTCCTATTCCTAATGCAGGTAATTACCCCGGAGGATATTTTTGTCCTTGTCATGGCTCCCATTTCGATGGTTCTGGTCGCACGCGCAAAGGACCGGCGCCAACTAACATGGAAATACCAACTTATAAATTCCTGGATGATAACACTCTTTTTATTGGGTGATGAGAGGTCTGTTTATCGATTATTACACGATCTTATTACGCTGATCGATTAATGGTTATTAACGACATTCAATATATATTAACTATTGGCAACTGTGTCTCTGTATTTATTTGAAAAGAGCAGTAGCTAGAATTTCAAGTAAATTTCACGATTACGTCATGGATGACGAAATAGATTTTGCGCGAACTTAAATTTTTTATTTAAATATTGAAAAAAACGATGAATTAACTTTTCAATAAATACGGTAACACTACAAACGCGAGAACAAATAAGATTCGCACGTAGAATTTTTCGGCGATTGGAAAGAGTCGCAGACGGGATACACGAAGATTAGGGCTACTGTGCAGGTAGAATGTTTGCATAAACAATTTAACAGAAAAACAGAAAAAATACAGTGAGCATAAAATCGTCAGAAAGTGGCATTCTCTCATGGGACCGTCATGGAAGATATTTACAATTAGCGAAAACGAAATTAATTTGGTACGCCAATGATGGAGCGTCCCTTGTTTCCAATAAGGCCCGTCATCCGGAAGGGGTAAACGGATATCCGTATCGAGTGCCGTGTCCGGCACTATCGTCCTTTTACTTAGAGGGACTGGAGCGACATTCAGTCCCGGTAAGCGAGAAAATGACTGTCGAGACAAGAGGCCTAGACGGGTATTGTTTCAGATATATTCACAAAAGATCTAAAAAAATTCTGGTAGCGAAAGATAGGCGGAGCGGGCCGAGCCGAGTGCAGGAGTCCTTAATGCGTCCGATCGTGAATACTCCGTGCGAAGTGCAGGATCTAGCGATGTGTGGGCCCTGGTGTCTTCTCTGGGGACCACTGATAACGGGAGCGCCAGGAGATGTTGGGCGACTGGGCGACAGGATAGAGGATATGGCTTTTCCTCCTATCAACGGCACAAGTGGTGAAGGTAACTCAGGGAATTCTCCTTGGAGGACCGCTTGGTGCTCGTGGGGATAAGAAGGTAGATTTGCCCATGGCGATACAGGAGACAGGCCAGTGCGAATAGGAAAGCTCAAAAAAGATAGAAACGAAAAACAGAGAAGCAGAATAAAGATAGGTTTAAGGGAGGATAGGCGGAAAAATACTGCGTAAGGAGAGACGTGACAAGCAAGATCAGAACTGAATTTCTCGAGTTCGAATAGTTTATTTTATTTGTTCAGATAATCCCATCCAACTTTTCTTCATTTTTTTTAACGACGAACACATGATTTTTATGCAGACTTTTATTTACATGTTAGGTGTGTTAACAGTTTGTTGTATATACACGCACTGATGATTCTGCGTATATCAATTTATTACATCTATCATAATTTATCCTCGCGTTAGAAGTTGGAGAGGAAATGATGGATTTTGGAGGTTTTCTTGAGCGATAGGATAAATTTTGTATTTGAATTGTGATTAGCAATTAATCCAGATCTAAAAATATTTTCATACATTTTTCATAACGTTTGTATATTTTAATACTCCGCCGAATAATCTGATCGCGTCTTTGGATACTTATGGATAAAAGATCCTAGTTTTTGGAGAGTCACACGTGGGGAATTCTAAAGATCAATGATGCATAGTTATGATGATACACTCATGATACGTTTTTGCGGGTTTTCCTCAAATAGAGAATTATATATTTACGCAATACCTGAGATTCGAGCATATGTGAATATCATTACCACCTTTCGGCTCGAATCCTCTTACCTACGGCATCATGTATTCTTGTACGTATATGTACATGTCGTAATATGAATTTATTTCAAAGGGCTTCTCAAAATCACTTGGACCAATTTGATTACGTCTTGGATACCATTGACGTTCTTGAAGACGGTCTGCTTGTATCTTGTGAACCAGCCTTTCTATCCAAACTATTAAATCGAATACCATTATTTTGTTAAACTCGTTAAACTTCTTTTCTATCATTTTCGTTTGATCATAGTTTTACTTTACTCACCTGTTACTGCGGGATCCTCTTTTAAACATATCCGTTAGCTTTTTCTTCAAGTTCTTCTTCTCTCGTTTACCCTCTTCGTTGATACTCGCTTCGGAACCGGAAGTCTAAAATAGTAGGATACTTATTGATCATTCAGTCCTCTTTAATGAAAATGTATACTCTGTATTAATTGTTGCTTAATATACATCGATTTTTGACTTACCTGAATTGAGAAATCAAAGGAACTATTTGGATCATCAACACTGGCTGATTTTGTCAGTTTTGTAGTGATCTTTCTTATGATTCCTTTGCTGTATTTTTTGTCGCGTTGTAGCATTTCGCTCTTTGTGGATCCTCCCGAAAGACGACTACAAAAATAATCATGTGATAGTTATATTGAATATTCATCATTTTTTACGTAAGAAATGTTTATACCTGTCAACACTGGAATCCCTTTGTAAACTAAAATGGCGAGGATCGCCCATTTCCGATCCGTCCAATGACTGCATACTAGAGACATTACTGTCGGTGCCCCAAATAATCTGAATGAAAAAATGACAATGATGTAGACTCGAGCTACAATAATATATAAATAGTATTATATTCTTACTTGATCATTCTTTCCGGAAGTCTGTTCCAACGAGAGACTTTTTCTCTTCAAACTGGGTTTATGAGTTTTGTCACCTATGGATCTACTAGGAGTAGTCCTACTCGAAGTGTCATTATCGATAGAAGTAGATCTAAAATTCGGAGAATAATAAGTTAGTACCTAGAAACTTATTAATTTAGTACAAGAAGTATACCTCTTCCCGAATTTCTTAGTCTTCGTGGAACTGCTTTCGTCACTAGCTTTCTTCGATTGTTGCAACTCTTTAGCGACTTCCATCAACTTTCCAATAGTGTATTCCAATTTTTCCGTTCGTCCTCCTAAATTACTACTGGATCCTGAGATAACAAGCACAATTTATTGTTACATTCAGCAATAACAAAAATGTATTATTCACATCGCGTACCCTTAATGTCTTCCTTGGACTCTAACATTGGCGAAGACTCCCTTGACTTTGGTCCCTAAGATAAATTTAATTTTCATCATGAAATATATCACCATGAAACCACAAAAAAATATAATTTTTGTTTTATTTTTTTTCACATTCACCTTCAATCTCCGTGGTGGCGTAGGAGTGTACGTGTCCGGTGTCTTATTTTCCATTTTGGTGCTCAACTCTGGGAAGAGTTTCATAAGATCGTCGACTTGTTGCAACAAAATATTCACATTTCGTGCTTCGTTCTGTTCCTGCCGTCGCTTGCTCGCGATTATATCGCGCAATTCCTCCCGCTCGCGCTCATGACGTTCTTTTTCTCGTCTCATTTTTTCGTTACTTGTGCGCAGCTTCGCGTGCGCATCTCGCAGCTCCAATAAATCGCATTGCAACTGTATTAAAGAAAATCAGTTATAAATAAGAATAAGCATTATTAAAAATTTTACTTTACCTCTATCAACTTCTTCTTGTTTTCCTCTTTCTCTTCGTCGAAAATTTTCTTTTGTTGATCCTGTTTCCTCTTGTTCTCTAAACGTTCTTTATCTCGTTCTCTTTCAATCTGTATTATGACAATGTACCTAATTAGTATTTGGAATTCTGTGTATTGATTATTATTTATTTATTTTCTTTGACGTACTTCGAATAACGTTTGCCGTAAGTCTCGAGCAAGTGTCGTAGTTTCTTGTAGCAGTCTTTGTTGTTCTTCTCTTTCCTTTTGCCAAGCAAGTTCCATTCTTACTTTTAATCCTGGAATTTTTGTTCTGCCACTGGCTAATATACGTTCTTCCTCCAGCTGCGTTTGATTTTAATTAATTTAACAATATAAATATTACTCTTGAGATAGTTTAATTAATAGGAGAAATCTCTAAGTACCTCATTGATTCTTGATTGCATTTCAGATAATTTGACTTGCCAAGCGGATTTTTCTGAAACTAATTCAGTCTTCAGTTTTGATGCTTCCAATCGACTCTCAGAAAGCTCATCCTCCATGCAGCTTATCTGCTTCTCCAGTACTGAAATGTTTAATGCCAACGTTTCTTCGTCCTGTAATTATTATAAATTTCTATTTACGTATCTTTTTGCAATTATTTCACTGATAATCAGTCACTTTCAATTATTGATCAATTATTACCTCGTCCGATTTTCCAGTAGAGGTCGTAGATTGTCTACGTTGTCTTACTGTTTTTAAATCAGCTATTGTTTTTTGAGCACCCTCCAACATATGCTTGTAGGTATCGCGCTCTCTCTTGTATCGAGACAATTGATTTTGTATCGATTGTATTTCGTCGTTAATCGCTGTTATTCGATGCTCATAACGCATTTTGCACTGTGCTAGGTCCGCTTTTCGTAGGCGATCCGCATTCGATAAGGCATTCTTTGCTTTTCTTAATTCCGACTCGAGCGCGGAAGTATCAGCTGAGAAATTACGGTGTATTTTCGATACGCTATTGTAGTCCTTGAGTTTACTTGTCAGATCTTCATTCTGGAAAAACATGAAATAATTGAGATATATAAGTTTGTCATTGTAAAAGTTATATCTTTATGGTCAAGTAAATCTTACGATTTTCCTCACGTCCGCCAGCTGTTCTGTCAGTGAACTATTCTCTTTTTTCAGCCTATTGATTTCTTCTTTGTTCTCCTCTATTGATTTGTTTGGCGATTTTTCATAATAGCGTAAACGTTCCTGAAAATCAGGGATTATCTTTATCAAATCGAAGACTCTTTAACTCCTGCTGGATATTCAGTAATGTTGCTTTTTAAAATATTATATTATTTACCTCAAATCGCAATTTTTCTGACACCCACTCGGCTTCCTTCTTCTTGAACGTTTCTTGTATTGCTCTTAGTTCTGCTTTGTTGCTACTCAAATCGTGTTTGTGATCCAACAGTTTGCTATTAAAAAAAATATGTCATAAAAGTGCGAATTTTGTTGCGAATAAAAATTCAATATTTACCTGCCTAAAATTTGATTTTCACTTTCCAGGTGTCCCCTTAATTCTGACAATGTAGTGTACTTAGAATTAAGATCAGTATAATCCTTAAGAGACTTCTTTACCTCGTTTTCAAGATCTAGACAAATTGTTATACATTTTCATTAATTTGAATTTATTTCTTATCTATTATACGTCACGTCACGTTAACTTACTCAAAATACGTTCATTGTAGGTTTGCTTCAATTCATTCATCTTCTTTGCATTCAAGCCAGCTTTCTCTAACGTCACGATTTTTTTCTTAAGAGTACCTATCTCCGACTCTTTCGACTCTATTTCTTTTTCATATTGTGACTTTAACTTTTCCTTCTCTTTTCTTACATCGGCCAATTCCGACAGGATTCCATCCATTTTCGTAGATGTGGAGGACTTCGTGTTCTCTAATTCCTGTTTGACTCGCTTCAATTCGCCATCCAGTTGAGTTTTTGTAAGCTCAACCTGTTTTGCGTGCAACAATTAAGTCGTAAAAATTCAAATATGTGCGTAAGAATCAAATTCATTATTTATCGGCATTTCTTAAATAAATAATAAACATCACATACAGAGGCGAGTGTCTTCGTTATACGACTCTCACGTTCCATGTAAGAGGTCAAGTCATTTTGCAAATTATTACATTTCTCTTTCTCAAGTGACAGCTCCTTTCTGAGATCGTTCAAGACAGACTCCATCTTGGCATTATCCTTTCCTGATGAATTTGCGATTTCTGTTGATAAGAAAAAAAAATTGATTCAAATCTACAATGATTAATGAAAGTAATACCTTATATCGAATTAAAATATATCAAGTACCCAAATCTTTTTTGAGTTGCACAACTTCATTGTAAACTTTGAGCTTTTCTGCTGACAATGACAACAATTTCGACTTCAATTTCTCCTTTTCCTCTTGCAATGCAGATTTTTCAACCTCGAAAGTTTTTCTTTCTGCTTCCCTCGAGCTGACAGCTTCGTCCAATTTTTTCTTCACTATAAAATTTATTATCGATATTAACATATCTCCGAACCTAATATCACAAACTTCCTTACATCCTTGCGAATCGGTGTTTTTGTTATCATCAGCAGATTTTCCCTTATCAACTTTTCGAGTTTCATTATCACCGGCAGCCAATTCCTTCGTAGCTTTCTCGAGCTTTTGCTTCAGCAATTCGTACTCCTTCGAAAGCTTATCATATTTCGTGACAATGTCCGAAGTCGTCATATTCGGCACCTCGACGTCCTTACCGACAACAATGTTGGCAAGAATCCCAACCACGTCACCTGAAAGCGCAACAATAAGTGCACAAGAAACTAAGTTTCTCAGTCAACTAAAATCACACCGATTCCATTCTAGTAGACAAAATGGAAAGTCACGTGTTATAATAAAAGCATAATAAAGTATCTACCAATTTCCTTCTCCATATCATCCACCATTTTTCTAAGCTGAATCTTCGTCGTATAGTCAGTCGCCTTTTTCTGCGTCCTATTCTTATATTCGGAACCAATTTTTTTCAAAGCATCCTCAATTTTCTTCATCTAAAATATAATAATAGCATAAAAGTTTATTCAGATAATTCTATCTACTTAAAAACGCTGGATACAAAATTTTTTTTGCGTTTTTTCCCTCGTTACCTCCTCGTACTTCTTCTCAAGGTCCGTCTTCTCGCTTTCTAATTGCTCTGCTTTCCTCTCGACTTTCCTTAATTTAAACGAAAGAATACGACAGTTCTTATTCGACTGCTCCAAATCCTTTCTGAGACTCGTGTACTCGTCCGCCTGCTCCTCCCTGCAGAAATTGCATTGACAATAAAAATAACTGCAGCAACAAATCACGTGGGATATTTTTGCATTGTTATAAAAAGTAAAAAAAATTGCATTTTATTTTTTATACTTTTATACCGTCGTATCGTGTTGCATTATAATTGGACATGATCCCCAAATGCATTTAAATCCCAGCTGAGCATTCCATTCAGTGGAATGAATTTTCGGCTAGTCATTCTACAGGGGAGTTAGATACGAATCTAAATGCATCTTCAGATCTGCATCAAGCCGGAATGCAAAGGCATGGGTCCTGAATAAGGAATGCTCCTGCTAAAAATACAACGTTACCTGAAGTTATCCTGCATCTCATATATCTCCTCTTCCAGTTCTCTGATCTCCTTCTTCATATCTTCGTTTTCATCCATCAGAGTCTCGCAAAGCGTCTCGGCTGCTTTAAGTTTTGAACGTAATTCGTCATTTTGTCTGTCTCTCTCGTTTCTACTTGTTTTTGTGTTTGCTTCCTTCTCTAAGGTCTTTACTCTCGATGCCAGACTCGTTTTCTCCTCGGTAAGAGCTTCACGAATAGATACGAATGATAGTGAAATTATTTTTTTTTTAAATAAGTTTTATTATTATTATTTTCTTTCAAATACCTTCGTTCTTAGCTTGCAAATCCTTAACGCTTTTTTGAAGCTTCATCACTTCGTTGCTCGATGACTTGTTCGACACTGTGTCCATTGTTGCCAACCGACGAAGCAAGATGTCGCTCTTTTCCTTTTCCACCTTTTCACATCTTGCTCTCATATCGTTCAATTGAGCTTTCAGCTTTTCAATCTCGTTCTACGATTATACCTTGTTTAATATATTTTATCGAACTTTTGTGCTTTGAGAATCTTAAAAATTAATTACCTTTTCCGTTTTTCCACCTTTCTCGGATATCTCATCTTCGGTATTTTTACTTGAAACGTCCGATGACTTTGATGGTGATTTCGATGAATCAGTACCTTGAGTCTTCCTCACCTGAAATCATAACAATAGCAGTGCTCCCGTTGGAAAGTCATGATAATCTATTTTTAACACTTTCTCATCGATCACCTTATGTAAGATAGAAAGGTGGAGTCTAATCCCAATCGATTTACATAAATATTCAAATAACAACTATCGCTAAGTAATGACTATGCTGATTAATATTGTACCTGTATAATAAATTCAACGTCCGTATTCGATGTGGTCCCATTGCTGTTATCGATGACACCCTGTATCTGTAATTTTTGGGGTGGATCGAGTCTAGTTTCGTCGTTCGAATATCGACGGAAATTAAAACTATCTGATTGCGATCCGGCATACAAGCGGCTCTTTGGGGCAGCATTGCTAACGGGATTCGATTTGGAAGCAGCGTCAATTTCCACACTACTAAGATCAGATGCCGATGTCCATCCGATTTTGGCTTCCGGTTGGGAATAAAGTTTCGTATCTTCCTTCGATAAATTCGAGGTCGATGCCCACGTTCTTTTGTCGGTAGCTTCAGCAGCACTGATTTCAATTAGATGTCATTAAATTATAAAATAAATAAAAGTATGACTTTTTTATTGAAAATTTAGACAAAATGATACTCACCGTCCTTGAGACGGTTCCCATGGCGACAGACTTGGGGATGATGCTGTGGTGTCCTTTAAACTGCCTTTCTTGTTACCAACGTGCTCCTTGTAATCTCTGAGAACAATATACAATCGTTTAATACAGATTTATTGAATTTAATTATACAATTTCTATTACGCCAAGTCTTTAGTTTTGGACTTCTCATTTTCTTCGGTCTATGTCAATTTTTACTTCAATATTTTACAAATTGAATTGGCCTTCGAGGCGATTTGATTTTTTGAACGATAAAAAATTATCAAAATCCTCCGTATATTGTTTCGTTGTTACGAAGAATCAAGCGTCTGTAATTTATTCGTAATATCTAGAACAGTCATTGACTGCGAATAAAGCTACAATAATCGAATTGTAATTGGCATATTATTGTCACGGTATCCTTGAGCAATTGCTCTGATTTCCATAGAATTTTAGATGGACTTATTTTTGGAAATATCATCGTGGGCGCAGCTGGCTCGCACATTATGTGGGTTATTAGTGGTTAACCCTGAACTGTTTGTTTATTCCAAAAACGAACACAGCCTTCATTTTGAGTTTATTAATTATTCAATTCGATCCTTTTTTTTTATTATTAAATCCTAAATATTATTGAATCCAATTATAAAAAGTATTCTCAATGCATTTATTATTAAGTAAACCTGGAGACACTTTGTATACAAAATAAATAAAAAAATATATACAATTTTTACGATCAAGATTTTTTTATCGTAATTCAATCACGTGCGTCATTCGAAATCTTTTTTAAATCACGCGTATCCCCCTGATATGTGTCTTTCAAAAATATGAAAATAAAAGGATATGAATAATTTTTTTTGTTTTGTCAAAGACTCATTCTTTTACCATCACGACATTGTTTTTCGTATCGGAAACATAAAGCATATAAACGCTTTTACGTATGCGGAATGGAATACGGTTGGGCATCATTATTATCATCGTTCTTCGAACCCTTGCAGAATAATTGTTAAATTTGTATTCAACCAAGTGCCCAGAACTTAAGACATTTCCGCATATTTTCTTGGTGCCTTAACCCTTCTTGTTATTCTTGTTGTTATTCAATTTAAAGTAAGAGAATGTCTCTCTGCTATAGGATTGAAAATATATTCAAAAGAAATAAAAAAAAAAATTTGTCCATTTTTTAAAAATCAAATATGCTCAGGGTATCTTAATCGAAGATTTAAGCATTTTAAATGTATATATATATATTATACCTGAAACATCGTTTACATCGTGTTGGCCATCGCACCTGAGGATGAAATCCAAGAGGGCACAAAGGATCTCCTTTTGACGTGGGATACAAGTGATGCATTCTACAGAAAATAATTCAATAATGACTTATGTATTATGAGTATCGATTGACGATGATCGACCGATCGTTAAGTCATCGATACCGATTAATCGATTTTAACGAAAGTAAAAATGGTTTATTATTACGTTTCTTTTATTTTTCTTCTTTTTCACTGTCCCTCCATCTTTCTCTCTCTTTTTCTTCACTATACCAACAATGAAATCCTATTAAGGATGTGAAACCCTTTTCTCATTGGCAGGTCAATGATCACTTACGTTTGATTTTTTTTACACTACCTCAGCCAAATGTCTATTTTTGGATCTGTTTATCGTTGGATTTCGAATCGGTCTTGGCAATTCGATCTATCCGGGTTGCATGTATTTTCGATACATTCTATCATCACTTTTCATATAGGTTTATCCAACTTGTCTTTTCCTATTCACTTATTTTTTTCCAACTATTTGGAACTTGTATAACTACGTGTTTATGGAAAGTCTTATTTATTGGAGCACACGTGCTCCCGATTGACTAAATAGTTTATAAATATATATCAAGAAATTTTAATGTTGCCGCCAAAATAATGGCTCGTTTCCATATTTCGTATTTTTTCCTCCTCGCCGTACAGTACACAATGGAACGTATCACTTTTGTGCAAAACACTCAAAGCCGTAAAACACTGAAAAATCCACTGTTTGTATATTCTTGGCAAAAGAAAAAAATGCAAAAATTCCTCGAAGACACTTTGAACGATATTCAAAAATCTCAAATAACACAAAAAAGCACCAATACTCAAAATAACTTTTTTCAATCGACAATTGGAAAAGTCCAAATTATATCGTTCGGAAAAACCTGAGTTTCGCAATCTCGAACGAACCACTCGCGACCCCAATATTCAACTAGAAAAAGACAGAATCACACAACTAAAAAAGAAGGACAATTGAATCAATCCACAGAATAGAGCCCTGACCCAAAGCACAATAGAAAAATTCCAAAATCCATAACACGCACTTGATTCTCTCTTCTCCCCAAGTATACTCTTACGTAATTAAAACCCACAGGCCAACTCACTTTGCCGGTTGGGTCGCTAACCCAAATGCAGTTCCATCCAACACGAGTAAATTTATCCCCAGACTTTTTGCAATTAGTCATCAAAAACGCCTGGCCAGGTCATTTTCCTTATCGCAAAGATGCTCATCGGTCCTCTATTTTCCTTATGCAACAAATCCATCGCAGCATCCTTTCCCATCACCATCCGTACTGATCGACTCTCGTAGGAAAAAAAAATCCACTAAAAATTATCGAACCTCTTCACCGTATCTTTCCTGCAATTTTTTTCCTATTTTACACAATTTTCAAAAAAAAATTCTCTCGCCCCTAATGGCGTCTCCACTTTTCGCGCGTCCTTTGGAATCGGCTGCTGCACTGACACAGCTACTATTACAGGGGTAAGATCTCTCCAACAGAAATCACAGACCGAGCGTGTTCGTTTGGCTCATAGCCAGAGTATATATTTATCTTCGGCTATATATAGTACACGCTACGTATGTACAAGGCAGAACGTTTCCGCAGCTCGAAAATTTTTCACTCAACGACAATCACGAGAAACGTAAAGGCTTTAGTGTCTGACAAACCTTTAATGAAGATACGACCATCCACCCTTGAATCAGCACGTGTCCTACACATGCGCGCCACCCTCGAATTTCACATAATTTTCAGCTTACGTAGCAGTTCACACATATAGCTGAATACGTAGACGCGACAACGACGAAAAACCGAATTTCGTGACGCGAGCGTCGGGACGCCTACGATGATTTGCCTACTACGATGCATTCCCCTCTCGCTACATACATTTATATATCTATATAAAAATGTCTTCAATTAATTTTTTTATCATTTTTTACCAATTTTCATACACTTTTATATACATGCATATTACATATGTATATATGCAAGATGCATAATATATTGCTATGCAACGTGCACTGGCCTTTCCATTGTTGTCTTTTGATTAATGAAATCGCTATTGACTTGCATTTTTACAAACAGATGTATCCCATTATGTATCAATGAAATTGTACGTCAGTTCAATTATGTAAGTAAAAAAAAAAAAAATGTTAACAGAATGATAAATTAATTGCCATATTCATTAGCAAACATGAAAAAGCTCACTACTCGCGTGTAAGTATGGTCGACTGTGTACAGGCTGAATTTTATAATATGCTAACGATTATCCTATAGTATCTTTATCAACGACTCCTATTACCCAATTGACAATTTACATTGAAAACTCGTTTACCATTATAGTCATGACTTTGTGATAATCTCAAGGCTATTTGGCTGACGTATTCGTATTTAATATCTCCTGCAACTCGGATCAAGCTCTAACGCTTATCTTGCTTGTTTAACACGTTTAACAGTTATTCCTGCAGTTTACATAGGTGCCCAGGACTTGTTCATTATTCTCGGATCATTATCTACTTTCCTCGTCGAAGGATGAATAGGAGTGACAAAGAGAAAAAACGTCATGACCACCAGCGTCATAAATATGCAGGCTCGCTATTGAAATGCGTAAAATGAAATGAACTAAAAAAAACTTATGCATAAAGCGATACCAGGGATGGCCCGTGGACGTGTGTACATACCTTTATGAATTTATGCATAATGTAACAAATGATATTCTGCATTTAGACCGTATAGGCTTATCAAAGCAATGTATAGATATATATCGTAAAGATACATATCACTCGATGATTCTTACTAATTATTTTTAACCCTTTTTGTAATTTAATATATAACAAGATAAGATTGTGTACAATCGTTAAATCTATTAATTAACGATCGTGATCGAAAGGCTTATAATTAATATTGTTATGTATTACAATGATCGGTTTCATCAGACCATGATGGCATTGATGCTCTGTACCTTGTTATTTTTTCTCTTTTTTTCGTATTTTCTTCTCTATCTTTCTCCCGTGTTATTTCACTAGCACAGACTGTACAGTTTATTGTTGCTCGTGTAACTTTATTTATCGTTACACTTTCTGAGTTGACACTTACCATTACCATTGGAAAGCCATAATTTCCATGCTTAGACAGTGCAGCCATGCATGTCCACGTTGCGCTCTTTGCCTCGGATATTGTCTAGATCATTTTTCAGGTACTTCGTTACAGGGTGATAACCCAGCGGAGATTAAGTTGTCAAACGAGAAGCGTGGAGGATTGAAATGGAAAGTAAAAGAAAAAGGCAAAATTTACTAATCGGAACGACCAAAGGATTAGGAATCGTGAAGTTGGGATTAGATGGGTTATTTGATATCTCCATGGTATACAGGTTGGAAGTAGTCAAAGTACCGATAGTCGTCAGACGGGGTACGCAGAGAATCTCATTGGTGTTACTTGAGGCTGTATCGGTGTGAACGTCGCTTCAAATGTCAAACGCATTTGTCAATGTATTGTGCCGATGGAAATTTCAATGTGATAAATTCCAAAGGCAGATATACAGTGCGGTTCAACGTTAACGAGATCAGAGCGGATGTCGATTATGAATAAAGTTATTAAAAAAAAAAATTGAAAAATTCATCTTCGTTACGTTGAGTTCACGCGCGTTGCTTCACCTTGCTCTACTTTATTTTCTCCCTTCATACACATGCGCGCATATAAATTGCAGTTGATAAGCTTCCAGCGCGGAATAGAGTATTTGCGTCAGTTTTAAATTCGCGAATCCCTCGGAAGGAGAATAGGATTAGCATATTGATTTACGTAGATCGTCATAACGGTGCAATCCGGTTTATCCTTGCAATTCCAACTGAATAATCGCTGCTGCATAATCGTCCGTTATTACCGAACTTGAACTTCCCAATAGTCAATGGGAAAACTTGAGTGAAATTCGAAGTCAGTATTTAAATTTCACTGAATGAAAATAAATGTCCATAGAATAAACGAAGCCACTATCTAATAATCCCATGCAGACTTTATCTGGCCTGGATCTTGAAATGCATTTCAAATTGCATCAATAATGCACCCCAACGATCCTATGTGCAGTCGCTTCTACATAGTCCTAAAAAATAAAATAATTGATCAGGACCAAGTGGAAAAGTCTCAAAGTAAAATCATACGACCAAAAGCATAAGCGACATAAGTGAATTTTCAATAGAGAAAAAGAAGAGATAGCCAAATTATAAGTACGAAAATTCCAAGAAATTACAGCAGAAAAGCCGAATAGAAAATCGATAAAGGATGCAAGCAAAGGGAAGACGAAGATACGATTAAGTAAAAGGATAAAGAAAGAAAAGCTGGAAAAGATAAAAAAAAGAGAGAGACAAGACAGAAGATAGTTCAGTGGCCGTCCCCTTCCTCGTATTCCCAAAGGCCACCAGCTCCTTGTCCTATTTCTGACGTCACGGCCCGAAGTCACCTAACGGCGCATGCGCGGTCTTCGCCAAGATGGTGAACGTCTTGTAACTCTCACTCGCAAGGCTGTCTGCAGCAGCTTTGACAATCGGACATGTCCGGACGAAGGAGTAAGTGACTAAGTGAGTGCCGATGAAAGTGTCGATCGTCGTTAACGTACTGAAGACAAGTGTCGAAAACTTGATTAACGCGGCTAAAAATAGTAAAAGGGATCGTTTTAATTAATCGATATTATTATGGACCTCCGTGGTGGCAGAAAGTGCGAAGACCTTTGACATCTTTGAACCATATTGGAGGCTTGGCCGTGTATAGTTGCTGTCACCGGAAAGGTATGTTGCCGCCACCGCTGACTACTACCGCTCCTGCTACTGCTACTGCTGCTGTTGCTGCTGCTTCTGCTGCTGCTGCATGCAGCATAACGGTACACAACTCGCTACATAGATGACATATAACAACCGGTGCTTCCTTTGGCTGTCCTATCCAATAGTATAGATTTCATATATATATATATATACGTACAAGCACGAATTAAAGGAATCTATAGATAGGCTGCTAATAAAAACGTAGGATAAGAATGTACCCATGGCCATTTACGTACTTGGGTATCTGGCTCCCTTCGCAAAGAAGCAGCCTCTCGAAGGTCTCCTGTATGTAAATCCGCGAAGGCACGTATACGGGAATAGCTGGGCGTACTCGCGTTTCGATAGGCCGGCCGAAGCAAGAGCTCTCGAGCATTGTTGCTAGTTTTCAAGGGAAAATAAAAAGGAGTTATTCTTCTTCCATAAGTATGTATGTATGCCTGCCTACGCGTCCAGGCATAACCAGTTTCTTCCACTCGTTGAAGTCTCTCCTGTGCGGACTCTCAGCTTGTTGAAGTCTCTCGATCCTTTTTCTCGTATCATCTTGCCATATTTCCTTCTCGCTCGCACTCACTCGCGCGCACTCTCTCTTTCTCTTTCGTTTTAACCCCTTGCTCTCTCTTTCATCTCTCGCTCTCTGCGTGCACACTTTGAAATACTTGCAAGGGAACGAAGGAACGAACGAAAGAAGGAACTGAACCCGCGAACGAGCGAAAGACCCGTGTCTTCCGAGACTTCTGCCATACTTGATACTGTATATATATATATATATATATATATATATATATATATATATATATATATATATATATATATATATATATATATAGAGTATATAT